TGGGTTGGCAGAAAAAAAAAAAAAAAAAAAAAAGCAAAATCTCCACCAGCAGCATCAACCCTCCAGCCATTGCTCCTCTGGTGCTGCTCTGCCATCCCTGCTGCTAAAGCAGGGAGGATGCAGGGAGTTGTAGGGATTGGAGAGGAATGAAGTACTGCCTCGGCATAGCACTGCTCAGCTGTGCCTCTGGTGCAGAGGCTGCTGTCTTGTAAATTCAGTTGTATATTTTCTCACTAGCCTTGATGGAAATTCTCCAGTGCTTTAAGGAGGAAATGCAATCCCTGGGTGCTTTGCATTTTACCACGGCTTGTCTAATGCCCTCAACCTCTCTGTGGCACTCCTATTTTTATGTACCTCTGCTTCAGTGCAGAAAATGACACGCATTTCCTCTAAGTTAGCCTTTTCCCGAAGAGCAGAATAAACTGTGGTCTCATGTGAATGAGACCATGCTATTGCAGGAAATCACACCATTCTGCAAACAGTCCTTGCACTGGGCAGCTGACTGCGATACAAAATGAGACACCCAAGATCTGGAACAGATTTGGGTTCCCAAGCACATGGGCTCCGAGAGACTTGCTCTGTCTGGGGGTGGGGGGGAAGAACAAAGTGTGCCACCTGCACTGTTCTTTACTGGATGCCAGCTCAGGGCCACTGCACTTGGCACCTGCTGTCTTGATGTGGTGCTTGTTCATGAAAGCACAGTAAGAACCACACCACAACGGAAGACCCTGGTGCAGAGTAGCTGCTGTCACTACTGTATATCTGCTTGAGATCTCCTTGTGTTTTAATAGTAGAAAATAGAGGTGCACTGATACATTGGTCTGATATTGGATTGGTAGTGGTATAAAAAAGATTGACTGCATCGGAAATGGGCCTGATGTGGCTGATAATTTGGCCGATAAATGTCATGCGTGCACACAGCGCAGCACTTAGGAAGTGAGAAGCACAGCTCAGTAGCATGGAGAGCTGCTGGTAAATCTATTGTGGTAGGAGGGAAGGGGTGTGGAGGGGCAGATCAACCCCCACCCCACGGTGAGGGAGGGGGCAGGGGCAGGTGCTGCCCAGCCAGGGTGGGGCAGGTCATGGGACAGACCCACGGCTTGTGGGGTGTGGGGATGGCTCCTGTTGCTGCTTCTTACACGCTGGGAGGACACGGGGGGGGGGGGGGGGGGGG